TCAGCCTTGTTGCCATGGAAACCAGAACAAGGATTTGAGAGGCCAAACTGGATGCATTTATAAATCAGAGATGAAAAAAATCCCACCCATTTATAACAATACCTTCAGTGGGAAATGTCTTTAATTACAGCAAGTCAGGCCAACAACAAACTCAACAAAAGCTACAGCGTAAAGAAGTGAGTGATTACTTTCTTTAAATGAACACAATGGCTTTAGGACCAGTGGTACCCATGTTTGACAGAGAGGCGGAGACAGCAGTAGCAATAGAAGCAGTTTACTCTTCCTAGGTGGCATAAGGTGCTGTGTAACTTGGTTCTGGTGATGCCCTCACAATTGCCAGCCAGGTGGCTGCGGTGGCCATCCATTAGCTGCTCCCAAACACATCCAGTGGCTCACCTTCTTCCCTACCCCCATCCTCCTGAATCTCCTCTTGCCCACGTCAGATGCCAGCATCTCTGGCAAAGCTTGTTGGTTTGTGCTCTGATCTGTGACAAACCTCTTGTTAAGTGCTGGGAATCACTGCTTTAAACTGCAACTTGAGCCCCATCAGGGGACACACACACTGCCAGCCAGTTCCAGCAGGCAGGTGACTTACACAGCAGCCTTCAAAGCTATCACAGCTCTCTGTTATGATCTTGATCTCTTGATATGGTACCTTACTCAGTATAAGTGCATGTTATGCTCTCGAGTGTGTAATGCATAATAGGGCCCAAGCTGTGAAAAGCCCATCTGATCTTCAAGACTGCTCACTGTACTGTGGAGAATGGCAGGATTTATGGTTTAAGTCCATTTGTTGTTAATGACAGTTTCACCCTAATAGAGCAGGGCAGTACAACTGGAAAACGGAACGTAGAAACAGCTGGTAAGTTCTGGAAAGCATCTGTGAGAGACAGATCAGCCACACACATTTTGTGGGATTACTGGACTAACCACACAGGGAATAAAGACAGAAGATGAAGCAACTTATTGCCCTACATCCCTCCCTGTGGCACTGGTAGCCGGGACAGCTGGACTACATAGGAAACTGATCCAGCAAGACCTGCCTTGGCAAGGATTGCAGTGGGCAACAATCATCCATACGATCAATGGTATTTCTTTGCTCAGGGCAGAGTAAGCCAAGGACTTGGAACTGCCAGCCACACTCACATAACCTGGACAGAAATATGGAAAGCAATCAAAAAATTCCTCTACATCAAAAAGTAAACTATACTGCACAAAAAGAAAAATAATAGGTTAAATTCAGCCCATCTGGTAGGGATGAAGCTAGTGACGTGGGAAAAGAAGCAACATGTAACAACTAGAGCAGTGAAATACTAGCTGCACAAACACCCTAAAGCTGCAAGTTTATTAGATTAGTTCATAGCTTTCAAAATCACACGAGCCCTGATCATGTCTGCATCACTTCTTTTCAAAACCTCAGAGTTCACCATGCAGCAGATGACAAAACACTGGTTTCTGGTTGCATGGTGGGTGTAAATACTGCACAGTGCCAAGAAACACAGCTGTCCTGCTGAAAAAGACTTCCTTCACCAGTAACTACAAAACTAAGATGTTTGTAAGGATTTTTCTCCCACTGCTTGGAGAAAAAGAGTCTGTGTGTCTTAACAGAGGTGAACAAGGGTGAGAATGGGTTCAGGAATGTTACAGAGATTTTCCCAGCTCCTACTCAAACACTTGTTTCCCAAATACAATGCTCTACATTTGTTTGATTTCTTCACTTCATTTCCACCTTATTGTCCCTGGTGGTGTTAACGCTTCCAGGCTTTTGGTTCAGCAGACCAAACAGTCTGACCACAGGATCACAATGGTGACAGCATGCTGTGAGACCATCTAAACTCATACACGGCTCCAAAAATCTGGGCCACGGTGTTACTAGTATGAAAAACACTGCCCACATTCCAAATGCAACAGATGACATGCAGACTGTGCTCCGAGGAGCTGAGACCCGAGATCCTCTGCTTTTCATCCTGCAGTACAGAAACAGCCAAATTTCCGAAAAGCTTCCTTATTAGAACAAACCCTGTGAACAAACGCACAGATTGCATATTTCTTGGAGAAGGTTCCCTTGTCAAAGGGATTTGCCTTGTTAAACTATATGAATTCGTATGAAGATTACAGCAGATGGCTTCTTAGAGAAAAAGATCTCATCTAACTGGGGCCATAAGGCCTGCTATGAAAAAAGTTCTAAGTACCACATAGCAAACTATGTTAAAAGCAGTTAAAATGGCCAGTGTTAGCATTCCAATACTAGAAAGTGGCAGAGTTCAGGACAGCTTGTTTTGTCACTGGAGATGGACCCAGGAAATGTGAAGGCACTTGCTTTTGTGTTTAAGGCAAAGGAAGCTACATGCAATCACCTCTACTGCTATTTACTTTTTACATTATATCTAATTACTACAAGACACAGGAAGTGTTGTCCACTGATACAAGTTAGATATACCCCAGGATAATGAAGAACAGTCTATCTCATATGATACAACTGTGATGGAAACTTCAAATGCCTCACATAAATAAAAGAACAAAAACAACTATAAGATTCTATCCTGAAATAGAAAAGCATCCATGGTCAGTATAATGGAAACAGGGTTCAAAGGGAGCTTCTCTGCACAGCCAGCACTCATCATTTTTCCTCATTTTTCCCCCCTTACTTAAATCTTCAACAACAGGTAAAAAATTAAAATGAAAAATTGTTTGTAATAAGCATTTCCTTCTCACAGCAGCAGCAAAAGGATAACATGACGCTGAGCAACAGAGACTGGCTGAACTCAGCACACAACAGAAGTAGGCTGGAGCGCTGCAGTCTTCCTGTAGACACAGAGGCTGTTTCTTGGTGACGTTAGTTAATGAGCTGTGCAGAAAGCTTTTATCCCACCTGAAAGTACATTTTTTAGGACGCTGCATATCATTATCTTTACTCATGATCAGATCAAACTCTTCACTACATCATTCTGTTGATTTTTTTTTGCCTTTTATAGAAGGCAGTTGGTGACTTCAGGCAGAGGTTTTGTAAAGGGAAGTAGGGAGACTTGCAAAACACAGAACTTCCTTTGTGACTGCCTAAGGGTGCAGTTCTGACTAGTCAGGCTCTTTCTTTTAGCCATATATGGCAATCTCACTAAAAACAGAAGGCAAACCAGGTAAGCAACTGTAAGGCAAGGGGTGTGACAGGAGCCAATTAAATGTAGAGCTGAATAATATATGTGTAAAAGGGCAGCGGCGTGTAGGTTTAAGATGATACCTTTTGCAGTCAGTTTTGTGCTATAGGATGAAGTGGGCTAAGCCTACAGCCAGTTTGATCAAGTGTTAACACTTCTGCAGGATTTCACATACAGTTACTGTGCGTCGTTTGCAAAAAATAAAAAATAAAAAGCAAGTTTGCTATTGAAACAGCCTACACAGGGTCTAATAGAGTCAACAAGAAGTACAACTATGTTTGTGTTCAGTAGACCTAAAACACGAACAAGGTTTTTGCAACCTAACTTCACTGTTTTTTCAGTTCAGTGCCAAAAGCAATGTAAGGTTCTGCAATATACGGTGCTTAAAATGCTGAGGAATAATTGGAAAGTTCAATGAATGGAACGCGTTTCTTTCATGCTACTTAAAAAGCAGTTAGAAATTAGAGTAGGGGGACTGGAAAACAGTTTTGAAACCCAGTGTTTTTTTGGGAAATACAGTCAATATTTGTCTACATTTCAGGTTGTGATCTTGTAGTGCTTTCCCTAAACAAGAAGTGGGATTATTAGAATTGCTGGGAATTAAAGCTATCTAGGTTTGCCACAATCTTGGCAATCAAGTAAAACCAAAACAACTCAATTTCGTACCAGTCTAAAATAAAAACGGTTAGAAATTATTAAATATAAGAGTTTGGGACCTTGAGAGTGTGCTTTTTGCATTCTATAACCAAACTCACACCAGTTGCTAGTTCACAAACTGGCCGCAGAGATTTACAGAGCTCTGTTTTGTCCCCTTTCCTCCACTTTTCAACACAGCAGTAAATTCCTGAATGTCCTTAAAAGGCCTTATGGTGTATTCTCTCTTTCTTACTGGTGGAAACAAAGTGACTTGTAAGAGTTCAGCATCTAAAAACACACTTGAGGAAGTGATTAGTCATTCACAGAGCATTGCAAACGATTGCACTCATAAACCAGGTTTCTAGCTTGATTTCATACACTCTTGGTGCAAAAAGGTTGTGAAAAGGTGTCAATCTGTGACCTGCCAGCTCTCCCACTATAGGAGCACAATGCGTGTGATTTACTGCTAGTGTCTTGTGGCTGTAAGAATACATGTGCACTGTGGAGGAGCCCAGTATTACCAGGCAAGTGACCAAACGCCATCTAGCAGCTGCAGGAAGATCTTTGCTGACTGACAGGGCAAATAAACCGAGTCACCTCTGTTACACATGGGCAAGGCCTGAATAAAAAGGGCAAAATGTGGTTGTAAAAAGCAGCTGCTTGGAGTGAGGAAGGCCGGACGTCCTTTAGGAGCCACAATAGTTAAACTAGAGAGGCCGTGAAATCACCGTGTTTGTGCAGACAACACGGTGCTTCTGCTGAACTGGTGCAAGGTCAGCAGAAGCAGAATCTCTAACCCTGTATTTCTAGAGCGAGGCAATGCCACATAGAGCTACGGTATGGAGTGCAACCTGAAGAACAAGAGACAACGCAATCGCATCTGAGACTGTTCACAGAAATACCGTCTCTTTAGGCATCAACTCATTAACGCTGATACGAACCGGAGCACCACAGCAGGCCCAGCTCGAGAGACGCACCGCGAGCGAGGAGGACGGGCAAAGAGATTGAAATAATTTACGACCAGAGCTTTTGTTTCTACATACGTGCAGTCAATCATCGCGAGGACGCATCCTCGGCCGCGCTGAAGGGCTCGGAGCGAGCTGCAGGTAGCTTTAACGCACACCGCCACCGCGCGGCTGCGAGGCGGCACCTGCTGTGGCCGCAGGGGCGGAGCCGCGTGCTGAGGGGCGGCCCCGCTCGGCGCCATTCCCGCGCGCCGCCGCAACGCGTTGCTGGGCGGGCGCCCGTCGCTGAGCGGGGCTGTGCGCAAAGGTGCGGGGCGCGGCGGGCGGCGAGCAGGGTGTGAGGGGACGCTGCGGGGCTGCTGTGGGTTGGGTAGGAGGACAGACTCGGCGTAATGCTTTTTTCGCTATTAAACAAGATCAGGGTGGAAGTAGCAGCCCTGAACCGAAAGCGAAGTGCCGGAAGTGGTGTGGAAGTGGAAAGCAAACCGCAAAAAAGGGCGGATGGTGCAGTTTGTCTTCCGTGTGCGGCTGTGCCCATAAGACGGGGACGTGGAAGGCTGTGCTGCCGTAGTGCAGCTCGGGATTCCGGGCACGCTGCTGGGTGTGTGCTGCTCTGAAACCTCGTGCGTGTGGCCCAGGCAAACCCCCAGCCGTTCAGTTAGTCGCTGTAATGCGGGTGAAGCCTGAGACACTGAGAGAGGTTATAAGCGTAGCGTCAGACGTTTAAACAAAACACACGAAGGAACCCAGCGCCTTGATGCTGTGGGTGGCAGCTGCCAACTGGTCCCGCAGTCATGTGAAGCCATGTGGTGGTGGCGTGTCTCCAGTTGTACCCTAACTGTTCATCCCCCTTGTTTCCTCACGCATTTCTGAGTCAACTCATGAAGAAAAACTCCTCATGCGATCTTCAGAGTGATGGTGCTGCAGTGCTGTGTAGTATTGGCAGGCGCAGCTTCAGTCTGTTAATGCAGCAGGAAGATGCAGCATCATCTGGCATAAACAATCCATAAGTAGGCTGTTACCTTCGCCTTACTGATGTATTCCAGCTGACAGACTCACGGTCACTTTGTGCGAGCTGATTTAATCATTAAATCATACTAGTTTTTCCATTTGACAAGGCCTCGATGACGTTTGAGTTGGTAGACAGGGTGGTCTAAGCAGAGAGCTGACTGTCCTTTTTTGTCACAGTTACTGCTACACAGTTAACAGTAGTTTCTCATCAAACTCATTCATTTGCTCGTCTTGTAGAACTTGCACTGGTATGTCAGGCTGCTCTGTGTGTCTCTTGGGACTGTTGTGATACCGTTCTGTGTTTGCGTTTATTTTCCTTTCCCTTTGCTTCAGGTTGAAAAGATGGGAAATGCAGAAAGCAATGCCTATCGGAACCACCTTTCCAGGTTTCTTCCTGAGGAGCAGTCTGATGTTGATGGCGTATTTGATACCTTAGTGGGATCAAGCAGCTCAGCAGCAGCCAAAAATGGAAAAGCTATGAAGAAAACTGTCACTCTGGAAGCACTGAAGGCAAGAAAATAAATTATTCTTGATACATCTGGAACAGTGTATTGAATGCAGTTCTAGAAAAGAATTAAAGACATGGCAATAATTATTTTTAAGTCTTAATTTAATAATATTTTGGGGTAGGACACATAGTTAATATTTTATTACAGTTTAAGCTGAGAAATGACTTCTGAGTTGGTATTTCTCTCCTGAGTCTTCCTGTTGCATCAATTTCCAGCTTTCCTGATCCTGAGATATGCTGGGAGGTATGAAAATACTTTTACAGAATCTAGAAAAGTGGGAGGAATGCTTTTCCCCCAGGAGTCTGTACGTGTAATTTATTTATGGATTTTCTCAAGCTGTCACATCTCTGTTTTTGACTGTATCTTTCTCCCTCAGTTGCATCGCTGTCTAATGTTCTCACTTGCATCAGGAGAGAATTCAATTTTGCTTGATTAAGCTGTAGCTCCCTATTTTATCTAATTAGTATATGTTATGCTCGCTGATTACCTTCGCATTCATTTTCTAATCAAGAAAGAAGTAGAAAATGATTCATCGTAATATTTCATAACTTCAGTTAGATAGGAATCAAGTGGCCAAATGAATGTAGTATTAAAGTGCATTGGTACGTATGCTACCCAATTAATGGACTCAAATTAGAACCACGTCAGAGAGACAGGATATTTTAAGGTATTTAACAATGCATCTGCATACAGACCAGCTTCAACTTCCTTCCAGCCTGGCTGTTTGTCAGGTCTCACCAGTTTGAAGCAGTGTTGCTGCTGCCCAGTCTTTCAGTTCTAATACCTCCTTCCATGAATCTGGTCCTTGGTGACCTGGAGGAAGTTCTTTTTCTAGCTTTGCCCTTCTCTCAATGGGATGTTTGATGAACCTTTGCCTATTCCCTTTGCTTTCCCTTTTGCTTGCCAACTTAAATCTTTGGACAGACTGCGTGGAGGTGCCTACTTCCTCATTACAGGGGTGATTGCAGTGGTGTGCCTGCATTGTAGGCTCCTGAGATTGACTGATACACGGCATATTTGATCTAGCAAGTCTGATGACATTGGCTGGGCCCCACTTACAAACTCTGGTGAATTCAGCTTTAGTACAAAGAAGCTGCGTGGCTTCTGGGCCAGAGCAGGCTGCACTGCACAGTTGGAAAGCAGAAAACGTAGGTATCTCTAGATAATTACTTGAAGCCCTTTACAACAGGAATTCTAAGGTGTCAGAGATGTGTGTTTGTTAGATGTCTTCTAAAGCTTCCCTTTCTACTGTTCTACTTTTCTTCACCTGCCCTGTTCCCCTTGAGGCTGCTCTTGGAATAACTGTAAGCATAACAACATAGTGCAGCTAAGTGGTGGGTGGAAAGGATATGGAGTGGGAGGGTAATACTGCAGTGTGTCCAGTGTCATGTTTTTAATGTTGTTTCCTGCTGCCTGTGTTACTTCAGGCTCATGCAGTGCTGCTAGAAAGCCTCTTGAAGGCAGCTGTACCCCCTGTGACTGTCCCTCCCTCTACAGGAAGCTTTCTATTGTGTGTGACTGTGGCTTTACTAATTCTGCTTCTGCTGAAATCAATGGGAGTTGTACCACTGACGTCAGCAGAAGGAGGGTAGAGCTCAGCACGTTACATCTCACCCTATAGGCACAGCAACAGCCATTAACATCAAATAGGAACATCCCTGGTGGCTTTGATAGGGGTGGTATTGAGCCAGCAATAGATGGGTAATAGCAGCTCTGCTGAATTGATCAGGAGTGCTTTTATGGAGGTGGGGCTCTGCTGATTTTAGTGTAGTCCCCACTGGGCCATGCCTCAGGTCATGTATTCAGCATGTTCTGCACTGTGCCTCACACAATGAAGACACTGTAATAATATCCTAGCATAGAGATGTGTTTTAGATGACTTATTTTTAAGCCCTGTCATTAACTGGAACACTGTGAATACTTCTTGAACACGGATTCAGATCTCTTTGTGGTGTTGTAATGTGTGCACACGAATTGAAATCTAACTGAATTCAGTGGGCCAGTCACACAACTTAGGTGACCAATCCCTGAGTTCAACTGTCTTAGCATTAAGGATGCCTTATGAAACTCAGATGACCTCCGTTCTGTTCCACATGCATTGAGTGAAAAACATTGCCCACTGCCTGCATTGTCATGAGACCCAGTCTGAAGATGCATAAAAAAAACCTTTCTTCTGCTTGTGATTTCTACTCATCTGTTAGTAAAAAAACCTTTGCTCATAGCAGTGTATCTCAGTGCACGTTAGCTGTGTTCTTCATTTCAAAAGTATGTGTTATTCGTTTAAAAATATATATTCTTTGCTGTTTTTCTCCTTGTAGGCATATATGAGGGAACCACTGCCAGAGCAAATGACTGTTAGGCTGTACAATGGAATGAGAAGTATTGACCTGACTGGAAAATCGTCTGCACCCAGTGACCACATTGCTAAGGAGCAGTTTGTAATTTTCATGTCCAACCTCTTAAAAGGAAATGCAGATGAGAAGATTACCATAATAATGAAAATGATCTCCACCACGGAAGGACCTGTGAAGGGCAAGGAAATCCAAGAGGTACACCAAAAGTGAAATGCATGTTTTGGGGGGCAGTAAGAGAGCACAGACTTTGGTAGGTAATTTGAAGGTAACCCTTAGGACGCAAGATGATTCAGAACAGATTCATGGCTGTTTTTCACTCTGCTGCTGACCTGCTGATATTGGATAGACGGCGTTGGCTGGAGTCAGCAAAGAGCGAGGTGTGGTTGGTGCTTCTGGGGACTGAGCTAAATGTAGCATTAGCCACAGGGTACATCAAGTAAATATCTTTTGCAAAGTAGAATTCATCAGTGGCTTCTACCCTGCAAACCTTCAACCCATACCCATCTTTTGCATTCTATTTTACAGGGACAATTTGGGAGGTGATATTTAAAAACACACTTTTCAAGCCTTATGACACTGATAAAGTAATTACAGAATCACAGAATTATAGAGGTTGGAAAGGACCTCTGGGGATCATCAAGTCCAACCCCCCTGCCAAAGCAGGTCCCTTGGGTAGGTTATTTCTGACTTCATGAGAGGAGATGCTTCTGTCATTGGGATTACAGCATCAGTACTGCTTGGCTTTGCCCTTAGAAAGTCTTTGGAGCGCTGTGCAACGTTATTTAAGAAATGATGGCATGGTGATGTTTTAACCTTTTAAGTTCACAGAGGATCTGATCAAGTCTGTAGTCCATGTACTGAGCTACAGGAAGGAGCTGAAAGGTTGGAATTTGGAGAATACCAGGGATTCTGCAGGTGGAATAAAGGCTCTGTCTTCTCAGCTTCTATCAGAATTGAAACTTGCAGGTAAGCAACACTGATGTAGTACATCCCAAAACATCACAGAGCTTGCATAATCTCTAATCTCAAAAGAAATTTGCCCTCTGTGCCATAATTCAAATGATGAGACCTGTTTTTCTAAACCTAGTGCTTTGAGAATAACTTGGGAACCTTTGATTATTCTAGCTTTCTCCAAAAATTCAGGATTGAAGTCACAGTTTAAGCAGACATGCAAACCTGTTTTACAAGTATCTGACCTGCAGGTGACATTTTGATGCATCTGCAGATGTTTTCTGATTGTATGTCATTTTGCAAAGCCCAGACTTACCTTTGCACTGTTGTAGTAATAGATTTTGCTGTTTTCCAAAGAACATCTCATTTGTTGTTATACTGTGAGCCCACGTATTTTAATTATTACAACCCAACCAACGTCACAGGCTGATGTTTCTCACTTCTGTGCATGCATCTGCTCGATGTAGTTGACAGCTACACGAGTCTCTGCCTTTTTGTACATGATTTTATGTCTAAATAAACGAATATCTTTTTTACACTTAAAAATGAACTGATTGTTTTTTCTAAAGGAAAGTACAGTGCAGCTTACTACTGTTTCCGTGTCTTATTATTTAGATGGGACAAAAGCTGTGAGTCCTCAGCTGATGGAGATGAACTTTGACAGAAGTGTCATTGAGGACTGGGTGTACCGAGTTCCACAAATCTCAGCTTTCCTCAGCGTTGTTATCAGGCAGGGCCTCCATGTCCTGCATTCTCTCCCAGACCAAACCAAAGACATAGTCAACTTGGTTCCAGGCTGCAAAGGCATCAAAGGAAGAATTGTCAGCCTCTTTGACATCCCATCTGTCATGTACATCAACTCCCATTTGCCTGCAGAGCTGCAGCATAAGTGGAGGCTGTTATTTTCTTCTAAACTGCATGGAGAGAGCTTCTCCCAGCTGTGTGCACACATAGTGAACAAAGGTCCCTGCATTTTGATCCTAAAGGATGTAGATGGCTTTATCTTTGGTGGCTTTGCATCTCACTCCTGGGAGGTGAAACCACAGTTTCAAGGTAAAACTCACTTTTTTTTTTTCTCCCTGTTAATATCTCACAGTTCAGGAAAACATTGCTTATTCTGCACAGGTACAAGGATCCAGTCTGCTTAATGGATATTGTCATTTTATTTTCATAACAGATAGCATTTCTAATAGCTCAAGTGTATTTTCCCGTGTCAAAAATAACATTCATTTTGGAAGTGTGTTAAACTACATACCAAGTTCTTGCTCTTGTGCCTGGCCAGGCATATTGCTGATGAATGCTTATCGTTTGTCTGTCATTTGATAAGACTTTTAACGCTGCAGGACGTATTGATCATGCTCTCCTTGTCAGTGAAATCTGTCAACTCCTGTAGCTCCATAGGTGAGAGGGGAAGCAACGCAGCATAAATGTTGAAGCAGCGTTTAAACAACGCGTCCAGCAGATGGCAGTCTTTCATTTCAGAGCTGCTGAGCCGGCGGTCTGACCTCAGATGTTTTTCTCTTTGCAGGTGACAATAGATGCTTTCTGTTTTCTGTTTTTCCCTCTCTTGCTGTGTATACATACACAGGATACAATGACCACTACATGTATTTGAACCACGGCCAACAGACAATGCCAAATGGACTCGTAAGTACTGAGAAATAACAGTTCAGAAGTTGGATTCCTGGCTGAGTTTTGGAAGTGTTTTGTTTTTTGCTTCTGTTACTTTGAGCTGATTTGTTTCACTTCTTTTTTCTCTGAGGATGTTTCCATTCTTTTCTATGCTATTTGTCTCACAGTTACTAGGAGGACTATTATTATTTGCTGCCTGAAATCATCAGCATAAGGCATGAACTGTGGATACCAGTGAAGAACTGTCTGCAATACTAATAGAGTTCTTACTTTTCTTTATACTTGGCATGTATACTGAAGTACCACATAACTAGGATAGGCTTTGTTCGTGTCTGGCCCAAGCAGGTGGGCTTGGTGCAGGTTTGGGTTCTGGAGATTATGGCAACGATGTGTGTTGGGTTTTTTTTTCCCCAAGTTTTTTGGGAGAACTGGCAGCATCTGTCCACATTATTGAAAAAGCAGGAGCTGGCTGAGCTGTGGAACGGAAGAGCTTTGTATGGCTGTTCTCATTGCCACAGTGATTGTTTTTTAAGTGATGGAATTAGAGCACAAGAGTTTTCTGTAGGTTGCTCCTGCTGTGTGGGTCCAGCGGCAGAAACTCCCTTTCCTCAAATCCATGAATGAGCTCCTCAGATGCAGAGGAGTTTCTGCAGAACCACAGAATGATTTCTATTTGGAACAGTGTTTTACAGATCCGTTGTGTTATGTGCCCTAACTTTGGGAATTGCAGGAGACCGAGATAAATTTGCAACACAGAAAACAAACAGCATCAAATTGTGTTACTCATTTCTGTAGTTACTTTTCTGGATGGAAGAGATGCAGCTAAACCCAACGCTTCCAATCTGTTTAAAATGGAGCTGTCAATCAATAAACAAAAGCCAGTGAGCTGCATTTCTGGCACAAGGCAGAGCTGAAGTCCTTGTAAATCCTGATATTCTGTAAAGCACACAGGGAGGGCAGCATCACGCGGGTGAGTTCTTATTTGTCTTCAGGAATGCTGGATCCGTGCACAGATCAGGTTCGTTTAGAATATGTTTCCAGCTACCCACTGAGCATGGCATAAATACAGAACTTGGCAGTGTACCAAAGTCTTGCTTTCATAACTTGTCTGCTCTGTTTTACACGTGTAGCAAAATGCTCAACGTGCTGCTTTGGTTTACAGGGCATGGGAGGGCAGCACGGTTACTTTGGACTCTGGGTGGACAGTGATTATGGGAAGGGACACAGTAAAGCAAAACCTCGATGCACCACCTACAACAGTCCTCAGCTGTCAGCTAAAGAGGATTTCACACTGGATGCCTTGGAAGTCTGGGCAGTGGGAGACATGCCTGAAAGTGCAGAGGTTGGTGAACAGGGCTGACAGCTGTGAAATGGTGTCGAATTGGAATGGGAGGCGATGCGAATGAAAAATGTGCAGTTTCGGTTTTCTCATTAACAGTGGCTCCCTACTGTAATGAAGAATGTTTTCTTTAACTCAACATTCTGTTCCAAGAAAATTGCAAAACAGTGAAACGGGTGGGAGTTCTAGTAAGAAAAAGGATCAGGAGCTGTGAGGTGATAGAAGAACAATACTTGATTCAGAATTTCTAGAGGCCTTTCTGATAGTGAGGAATGGCTTCAAGGGAGGAACCTCCTTGGAGGGGTTGAGTAAAACCCAGTGTTTGTAAAACAGAAACAAAGGCCTAGAAGTGCAAAAAGAAGTCTCAGCTAGAGCTCAGGAAGAGAACTGAAAGAAGCAAAACGTTTCTTTATCAGTGAGTTGCAACTTACTGTTGTTTTGCAGTAGATTAGCCATTTATAATCCTTGCAGCTCCAATCTCAGCACTTCCTTATCTAACAGAGACTAATAAAAAAGCAGCAGGAGCTGCATTTAAACAGCTGATACTCTGTATAGAGCAGTGATATTTGAAGTGCCTAGGAAACCTGCTTTCAGCCGGGATACAAAGAGAGAGCTTTGTTGCTTAAATAGTTTGTGATTAGATTTATGTCAGTCTTTCTGCACCTGGCTTATCCCTGGCAATTAGTATGAGACCTCTTTCCTGTCTCCTCTGTCCCTGCAGTTCATTCTGTTATTAAACTGTCTGTTCTGCACAGTTGCTTGTTTTTTTTGTTTTGTTTTTTTTTTTTTTATGGCTGTTTTTGTTTTAATTTTATATTTCTTTTCATACTAAATTAATGTATCCTGTCTGCTCACTGGACACAAAGAATTTCTGAATAGAAACGGAACAAATTGTTTACAACAACTGTTGAATTGTACTTGAATCTATTCCTTAAAAAAGAATTCACATCCGTGCTGGAAATTGAGGTCAGGCTCATAGCCTGAATGAACCTGAAACAGTCCAACGTCCTATCAGACATTTTGTTCTTACTATTTTGTCTATTTGTTCTTACTATTTAGTCATTTGATGTATCCCAGTGAATCTTAGATGCCTTACTTGAAAAGAATGCTTGCTTCATTGTGACAAACTTGCAAACCACATTTCTTGTGGACTTTTGAGTGTGTTTCTTTCTGTAGCTGAATGCTGATTAACTCACAGTGACAATGTAAACTGACTTTATTTTATTTTGCTTTACAGACTAAAGGTAAGAAGAGTATCCTGGATGTAGACCCTGAGGCTCAGGCCTTACTAGAAATGACTGGGAAAAGTCGGCACAGCGAAGGTTTACGAGAACCCCTCGAAGATGAAGATGATGATAACTGAAAGGATTTGCTCCTCCATGTTAATATTCCTCTTTTTTTCCCCCTTATACTTCCTTAAATATCTAGAGCTACCCTTAAGCCTCACACTTACACATTTAGGGTTCAGTGCAATATTTCTGCCTGAAGGGTTTTACCTGAGGAGGACAAAAAAATTAACTACATACTTCAGAGATACCTATAATTAAGTGCCAGCTGACTATGAAGAGCATTCCTAGTAGATCTGAATTTAAAAACAAAAGTTACTGACAGTACTGCTTACTGACTTGGGGAAGAACTGATGTGTAGTTACATGAAAAAGCGTAGACAAGACATCGATTAAGGCACTTATACCTCATCTACATGTATTTATTTGTATGCAATCAAATTAGTGCAAATTTTATTATAGCTTATGTTGGTAAGCACAGAAAAGTCTCATGATTCCATATGAAGAATGTTATTAATTTGCTCCAGTTAAATCAAGCGACTCTAGGGGCTGTTAGAGGGGCAGAACTCTTAAGAATACAGAATCCAGTTTGATGGTAATACTTGGATGAATTTCACTAAATAGGATTCTGCAGAAACCTGTTGTTTTTAAACATAGTAAAATGAAGCCAATGAGTCAGTCAGTCATATTTATCCTAAGAATGAGCAAACCCTGGGCTCCTGGAACAAACATACCTCAGCAGAAATTCCCTAGGGAGGAAGGTGCCTTCTGCAGTGGCCTCAAGTGGTGTAAAAGATGGAACTGTGAAATGGATTAAGCAAGAAACATCCACAGGTAATTGTGAATAATAGCTGCACATAGCTGTAGATAAATAAATGCATGGAAGTCAGGCTTATGCCTTTAACTCCTGTAAAGAAGACTGCCACACATTTTATTTCCACATACGTAATCAGCATTTCTGTATCACAAAACAGATGACAAAAGCATGAAACGTCACTTGCAGGTTGGGATTCTGATCGTGGGGCATTCATTCGTTCTCTTCTATGTGGTCTCTTCCTCCTTCTGATGCTTTTTATAGAGAACCAGATTTGAAATTCAAGGTAATCTGCAATTGTGTCTTAATGTAGATCCCACTTCTTTTAATTAAGGTATATATGCATTTGTCCTTGAGAGGACAGCACAAGAAATCACTCCAGCCATATATCCTGCAATTCAGCTGTGCATTCAGTGCCACTTTTAAGTGGTGCACAATAGAAAATGCTGTGCAGACAGCAGCTCATTACACGATGCTTTCTGTAAGCGTGGCAGTGCTGACTTCTGTTTTATTGTCAAACTCCCACCAAACAGCTCAGAAGTATTCTTTGCTCAGGCCCCATCTGCACTTACTAAATACTGCCGAAGCAGAGAGCAGGCAGACACAGCTGAATTTCTGCAGTTACACAGTAAGTAAACACTCAACTTACCTTTCCCCCCCCATAGTGAAGCAGAGACTTTTTCTTGAAGACAAAAACCACTTGTAAGGATGTTTTTAAAACAGCAAGCAGGGAGGGTGAGTTGCACAAAGCTGTTCTTCACCAAAAATTATTACAATTGCTGAGTTTTCTTCAAATTAAACTGTGTCAGTGGAGCTGGTTCTTTCTAGGCTATGAATTGAAGGTGTAATCCTGGTTAAGTATCAGCTTGTGGAGATTGGCATAGCATTTTGAGCTCCAAAATTCTGTTTTATGACAAGTTTAAGCCTGAGACTCTTATGTTCACTTTATAGTATTAAGTGGAGAAGACTGATACCACGACACTTGCAGCAGATGTCAGTGAAACACTACTTACCCAACCCAAGCAGTTGGGATTGTTCAAGATGGGCATGGAATAATCTCAACTTTCTTTTTTTGGATTGAGCAATCTGTGTTTAACACATCAGTAAACATCCAGAAAATGTGCTTGTTCTCAGCAGCGGGTTTGATCTAAACATCTCTCACTTCCATGCAGTTGTTGATCCAACTTCAAAGCTCAACATCCTGTGCTCTTGTGAGAATAAGCCTCTTCCACACTGAACCCATCCACCACTGCTCACCAGCTCAGCCAACCACTTTGCTCCTTCTAGTTACACAGGGACAAAAGAACCACTGCAGTGTTCAGCAGAGGCTGACAGGAGTGCTGCACTTTAACTTTCAACTCTCTGTTTGAAAACTCACCCCAGATTCCTTTGGAGTCTTGTTGGATCAAAGCTAGGGATCACAGGATCTGGAAACGCTATGGATTGGTGATAGAAGTGCTCACAAAGGCAGTTCTTTTCAGCTAATTTAAAATAAAAGATGGGTCTAAATCAAGAATCTTCTTCAGATACTTCTGTGCATCATTTTGAAACATAGAATTTTATTAATAAAAATCACTGTGATTTAAATAAATAAAACTTCAATTTATGCACAATAGATTTTTCTGTACAGGTGTGAAACTGCGTTACTCTGTTTGGGGGCTACCAGCATTCTCAACACAAAGATCAATGTTATAAAAATATACCTGATCTTGCTTTAAAACAGGAGTCATTCCAGAGATGTCTGTAGACAGCTCACGTAGCTTATGTACAGTGCACAAAAGGAACAGACTGGAGTGGGAAGAAATGTTTGGTACAGATTCACTGGGGTGTCTTCAGAAAAGATGCTATTGTTAGACCAATGCATTGAGTTCCCCAGCATCACAGCTCTGCTCTGCGCATCTCTGGGCATCAGTTACTGCATTCCTTGGTGTGCTTCTGGTGGCAGCAGTGTTTTTCACAGAGTTTGACCAACTCAGACACGATGAAAACTGAGGAAGCCAGTCCAGTAAGAAAGAGCAAGTCTGTAGAGAGGAAACAGAGCATGGGCAAACACAGTGGGCAGCTGGATTTCGTGTTGGGCTGAGGGTCATCCTTCAGTACATACCTGTTCTGGTACATCAGCACAGAGGTACAGCCTAGCTATGCTCATGGTAGTTGTTGAATTGGAATAGACTTGTCTACTGTCTTGTCTATTCTTGGCCACAGTAGACACGCAGTCACAGCTGGTACAGCCTACGTGATGGCTGAACACCATTGATCATTTAGAATCACTGAACCCCACTTCCTACAAAGTTCCTAATGTAAATATGATATAATTTAACACGGTAGAGTTTGCTCAGTCTGATTCAGATGGTAAAATATGCACTGCATTTCAACTCAGCAACATTTACCGAGCTTTTTGCAAAATGAAGCCACTGCATAATGATCCTGGATAGATTCATTTAATGAAAAATCATCAGACAGAGCTCATGGAAAATCTCAATCTGCCTGCATTTATGTACAGTAAATCAAAATTGAAAACCTGGAATATCATTAACTACAAGCATTTTTGTGTAACTGCTTCTCTGTATTTAGGTATACGTGCCACTGCCTGATTGCTCCCACCAGCAATCCCACGGGAGCTGTCACGTAGCAACTCTGCAATTCCACCTGCTTTCTGAAGTAGCTGAGAAGAAGATAGATATGTACTTTGTAACTTACCTAGCACTCCTAAGTTCTCTGTCTGGAAGATCTTCTGTAATGGAGGGACGTATATAACAGCCAGCTGTCCCAGAAATGACCCGAGCACAGAATACAAGAACATGCGGTTTCGAAAAAAGCCTATTTCCAGTATCAGCTTTGTCTAGAAAAGAGGGAAAAAAAATAAAAGGAAACACAGCATTTCCCAATCTCCTGTTGGTATTTGAACATCAGGCCGTGTCTTTGCACACTCTGCCACTATTGGGAGTACTGAAGTTACATGAATGCTAACTCAGGCAAGAGCTGGACAGCTGAAAGCATCACAGTTGAACAACGATGGGTAGAAAAGATGATAAAAATCACACTGCTCTGAAGGACTGTTAAAAAAAGCCTTCCCATGCAAAACGTTTGCATTCTAGTGGGTTTTCTTCAGACCAGAAATTGTTGCTGATACGACGATCTCACCTGAGAACGACACGTCAGAGCATTGAAGAGGTCAAAAAACACGAAACACGTGAAAGTCATGGTTGTGGTCCGGGGGGTTATGCCACCTTTAGGATTCTGAAGGCACACACACAGTTCCAGGGGTTAGTTAAGCCTTGCAACAGTAAGTCCATGCAATAGGTGAACTAAATATTCCCTGTAACGGTCCCAGGCAGTTCAAAGTACAGTCAAGTAAAGGAATAAATCTACTTCTAGTTAGTACAGGCAGCATTGATTTCTCCCTGCTAATTGCTGGGTTTATGATCTTATCAACCCTATTTTTAACTGATGCAGATTTTGAATGAAGCATATTCTAAACTGCGTTATCTACACCGTTACAGCACTAATAATTTTAACTAACCAAAATGTGTAGTACTTACATGCTTGATATTCTCTACATCTACAGAACTCTAGAGGCAAAAGCTACCTTGGAGTGTTGGAATCGTTTCAAGTCATAGTTTTCTCATTCTAGATAGGAAGGGTCAAATAAGAGACAAAACAGGAAGGCAGAAACAGAGCAAGGACTCTGGCTTCCTAACACTCTGCCCTTACTAATCCTTTCCCACTGGAGGTATTTCAGGGAGTCAACGTGTACTGCCTTCAGAAATTGCCCTTCACTTCGTTCTGCACCCTGATGAAAACAAGATACGATTGCAGATTTTCCTCACCTCCTTCCAGAAGACAAAGAGGGTTCCACTAATGATAATTAGAGCTGACATGAAGATTTTCAGGATCAGTGATTTGCTGAGTATAGTGTCCGTAATACATCGGGGTGGCTGTTTGATTGTATCCTTATCAACAGGTTCAACTCCCAAGCTGCCTCAAATAGAAGAGGAATGCTGCATTTAGTTCACACAGGTTGTCCTGAGATGATACTGCTGGTAAGAGAAGATGGATCTGGAAGATTAAATTCTTTTAAATAAAGCATGAGAGATGCCAGTGTTCTGGCAGTGTTACATAAGGCTGTATTATCTGTGAGAGCAAGATAAAGGCCCTTTTTTGTTTTGCAAAGCAAACTGCTACAGTGACATAATATTAAGCTATCATAGTGCATCGTACCCATACATCATCATAGAGAGAAAGCTAGGGGTAAGATTTCAGCCAACATCCCTCCCATAATGAAGATGCTGTAATTAGCAGTTCAATGAGGTTCTTGTATCTTGTGATTTTGGTTCCACCCCAAAACAGGAAGATGTCAAGCCTCAAGTAAGAAGCAAGTAAATAGCTTCAGGAGGGACCAGAAGGGAATACAAGGACAGCTTGTCTTATTTAGCCATCAAGTGATTGGCACACCGATAAGAAATCATAACAGCTTGTGCTCCTAAGCCAACACAAAGCTGTTACGTTGCTCATTTGTCTCTTTTATACCTTTGGGCTGGGGGCCCATCCATGATGATGTTGATCCATAAGATCTGCATGGCATTGAGTGGATTAGGTAGGTTGAGCACTGTTGACAGAGTAATTAAGCTCAAAGCTGAAATGCTCCTGCAAAGCACAAAAGGAGGTTTAGTCTGCATGGCCTTGCTTCCACTGCAGTTAAAGCAAACAAGAACTTACGTGCTCAGCTGGAACCGGACAAAGTTTTTTATGTTGTAAAATATTCCTTTTCCCTCTTCTATTGCGTTCCTGGAAGGGGAGGGAGAATGCATTTAATAACTAACATTAACAGTGTTTCACACAGAGCTCTTCCTATGACACTTGAAGACAAGTTACCTTCTCCAGCTCTTATCTCAGCTGAAATAAAGGCCTCAGCTTAGAAAGAGGAGAACAATGTATCTTCTCAGTCAGAATGATTTTATCAGGACTAATCAATCTGAAAACTGTGGTTCACGTGGCCAGGTCTTGGTTCATAAAGCAAACACGTGACCTATTATATCCTCACTCTACTCTACCTTCTGTGCCTGTTGTTACAAACCAACGGAGTGTTGCAAATTATGCATCTTTCCTCTGAACTTCTTGCACAAGGCAGAGGGAACAAGTTAAGATTACCCAGACCTGTAGGCACTTATAAATCTCCAGGTAGCTACAGTAACTGAGGAATCTCTATAGCTACAGCAACAAGAAGCCAGGGCTTTCAAGTAAAAGCTAGGTTTGTCACCACCACCTGAAACAAAAAAGTTATTGCAGTACATGCAACTGAAAGTGAGCCAGGCCCCGCTGAGGAATTCATCTCCACTTACACGTCCTGCCTCTTGTGATTTTCCCAGGGCTAGTCACATAACAGCCTCATTGCAATGGATAGCCAGAAAGCGCCTGAAGTAAGAAAGGGTCAGATACTAAGCAAGTCTCTGAACCTACATTACTGTTGAGAAGTCATCGTCCACAAGGATCATGTTGGCAGCCTCTTTGCTGACATCTGTACCCGCCTGCCCCATGGCAATCCCAATATCGGCAGATTTCAGAGCCACAGCATCATTAACACCATCTCCTGTCATTGACACAACGGCACCAGCTCTCTGCAGAGCCTGTGGGGGAGAAGAGAGGAGGGACTCTGAAGCCAGGAGAAGAGAAGTCCTGTTGGCAATCGCAGGGCACTGAACAGAACTGCTGTACAGTTTTGAATGCAGACTGCTTGTCAATACCAAGCATTACTTGCATCTCCCAAATGACCCAGGAGAGGTGTGCAGCAGAAGCACTAACGATATTGTTGTAAGCAGTGCCAATGCTTTAGCTTTGGTTTTCTGGTCATCTAAGTTTGAGCTGATCTTGTCCTGGGAGACCAGGTCATTGACACAACTCCTGAGGCCCATCCTGTGCCTTATTTTTGCCAGGTTTACAATGGATTTGAGAAACTTTCAGTACCTTTATGATTTTTAGCTTGTGCTTTGGACTTGTTCTAAAGAAGATGGAAATCTGAAAAACAAAAACACATGATGGTGTGAGATGGATGCTAGTGGAGATGGAACAAGGCCTTGATACTGTGTTCAAAACCATTACATTTTTGACAGTGGATGAGAGCTCTGACTCTGCCACTTGATCCAGCTCTTCCCCGGACATGGCTTTCAGTTTTCCATTGCAGAGGCCAATATTCTGCCCTGCAAAGAGAAACCCAGAATAAGATCCGCTCATCAGCTCTGGAAAAAGGCAATATTTCCTGACTTGAGGAGCAGGGGCAGCAATTTAAGAGCTGATGAAGGCAGTCACCCTGGCAGCGTGGAAGCAATGCAACACTCAGGACTGGAGCTGGTACTGTGTCCAGCCCTCTCCTCTCTGCTGCTTGCACAGCATACTTCTAAAGGCAGAAGGCAAAAATGGGAAGCACAGATGCTCACACTTGGAACATTAGCAGAGTCCATAATCCCAGCAAGGCCATTTATCTCATTTAAGGACATAAAGGCTGAGATTTTGCCATTTCTTGCTCTAAAATAGCACAAATCTACAGGAATTTGGCCCATAGTGCACAGCTGTTTTATTACTGCATTTAATATTAGTTTCAGTGGAAAAGGCAGGAAGTCAGTGATATTTAGAGCCTCTATTACACAAAGAATGATACAGATAATCATTGATAGGTAATGTAACACAACACTGGACTGATCTGACAGAGTAGGAAGGAAACCAGGTTCATTACCTATAGCCACAGCAGTTTCCAGGGCATCTCCAGTTATCATCTTTACTGAGACACCAGACTCAACAAGGACCTGCACAGCTTCTTTCACTCCAGCCCTGGGGGGATCAATTATTCCAACCAGGCCCAAAAAGGTCAGTTTGCCAAGTTCTGAACCTGAAGCCAAAGCGAGTACTGGAAACAGAGGAGGGGAAAAAAAAGACAAAGCAAAATTACTTATAATTCATTTCCGTACATTAAAATGAACACTTAGGGGAGATCTTAACTTTTCAGTTTTCCAACTGAAAAAGTCATTCAAGCCACATATTCAGATCTTTTTATATAGAGGCTCAAAAAATTGCTCTGCTTGAACAGCATTTCTGTTTCCTACATTTCCCTTACAATTTATTCCTATCCAATTTAAATACCTACTGAGTCTTCCCTAAAAGCAGGCAGATTGAGACAGTGCAACATTAGAGCAGACACTATTTAAGTGCTGTGTAAAACAATAGTGCCCCTGTGAAAACAGAAGTGTTTGAGGTTTTATTTTAATCTACGATTTGAGAAATAAATCTGGTTGAACTAGTGAAACTTTCATCATGTGAAGCAAGGCTCTGAGCACTCTGCTTCTGTTCTCACTGCCCAACCCATATTGTCCAATTGGTCCTGAATAACTCTGGGATATTCTGCCAGGTGTTCAGGGCAGCATTGCTCTGATGACTGAATCACAAGCTCACAGCAGCTGCCTCAGCTAATTGCTTTCCTTTTGGAAGGTGATTTGCCATTCACAAGCCAGATTTAGATATTGCCAAGCAAGCTCCGTACACCAGTTACTAACCAGAAGATGCAGGACTGGAGAACACATACATTAACTACATCTTCCAGACCTCGCTGCCAAGACATGTTCTCATTTACTTACATCCTGAGAACACGTGAAGGAGATGAAATGTCTCTGTTACTGTGTGAAAGTCTAAGATGTTTCTGATGTGATCTTTCAGCAATGAAGGAAATGCCACATTTGTAACAAATTCTCCACTTTGTGCACTGACATGAAGTCAGGATCAAAAGGAAATCGTTACGTTTGGTCCTAATAAAGAATTGAAATAAACATCAAATGAAAATGTCAGGGCCCAAATCCATGCTCTGATCCCCCTTCACAGTTGCTTTTTGTTGCTCTTAAAACAGCTCTTCAAAGCAAAACTTGGCAGAGCACTGACTGGATCAGGTGAAGCTCTCAATGCAACTTTCACTCTGTAACTCAGATGATCACAGCGCTTCAGGGAAGAGAAACATTCACTGGTACCAGTGCTTATTTTCAGCTCCTTTCAAGCTCACTAACTTAAATCCAGCAGGAAGGAAAAAAAAATAGGGAGAAAAAAAAGATTAATGGTAACCAACATCCAGCACACAAAAACCCTTGCTAGACTCTGACACGTACCGTGGAGAGATCGTGCAAGTGATGCTAAGGGTTAAGCCTCTGCCCATCCTAACCAAAACTGAGCAGGAAGGTACTGGGGCACAACAAGGGACACAGGCAGCAAGGACTGACCTCGTAGACCTGAGGAGCCCATTCTTTTCTCTTCCTGCTGGTAGGAGGCTTTCTGCTGAGGTGTGAGCATTAATGAGATGCCACTGCTGTTATACATAGTGCAATGTCGAATCACTTCTTCAAATGCTCCTTTCATGAAGTAAATATCTTCCTGATCCTTTAGAGGGAGAAGATAATGTATTTTATCAAAGGAAAAAAAAAAGAAAGAGGACATTAAAAAATACTGGCAATGCATAAAGCTTTTCATCTGATACAGACAAAGTCCTTTCCTTGCTCTTTTGCCTGTTTCATAACATGCCCACCTGCAAGTATTATTTATAGGATGCAATGGCTTTGCTTGGGCCATTTTTCATGCTCAGCCACTGCAGACACAGCCTGATGAAAGGGTATGAGTTGTTCACCCAGAGAATATCATCAGCTAAAACAAGCTCCTTATTAAGCAGGGAGGGAAGAACGGCCAACATTTTCTTCCAAACATCACATCTCCCTTCTCCTGCCAGTTTTCACCAACAGCTTCTGTTTTCCTGATCAAACCACTCCACAAAAAGAATTCTCCTATTCGAGCACAGCACTACCAACTAAAATTACACCCAAGTCAGGAATTCTGAGGTTTGCTCAGTTTCTCCTCCTGATACACTTAACTTCTGAAAGCACTGTTTGCTGAAGAGATACCATTTCATGCCCATTGTTGAAGTGCACAATTAGAAACATGAAACCAGCCCACAGGACTGCTTGCTTTACCTGATTTTTCAGCGTGCATTTCACAGCCATCCACTTTTGTTCGGAGCTAAATGGAATTTCCTTCTTTCTTGCATAAATATCTTTTATGTCAGCTAATTCCATCTGAAGTACAGTAAAATAAGAAGAGCACTGTAATGCTGAACAATGCCAAAGCTTGTCTTTACTTTTTATGGCACAGCATATGTCAGGAACTGACCATGTACTTCAAAGGCAGTTGTATTTTATAGAGCACAAGAGAAAGCATTGGGAAGAGTAGAATCTCTACTTCAAAAAGATCTTTCCCCTTGGTGCCTGATATGGGATAAACTAACCCATAGTTTGAAGCTTTTGCAAGAAGCACTGGGCTCTGCGAGAGCACTAACCATGGAGCTACACTGCTGTCCAGGCCCTCAGTGGGACTTTGGATCAACTTTGTTAGAGTTACAGGCTTAACATGAGGAGCTAAACCAGATGTCTGCATTGCTTCATCAGCCACCTGCTGTAACTTACAGCCCACCTGAGCTCAGAGGGCCACAAGTTCTGCAGGGTTGATCTGATGATTCCTTGGGGTGCTTATGGCCTTCTGTCTCTGAGTATGAGTACAATATTCATTCAAAATTCTTATTTTACATAATCATGTTCAGAACAATGTAAACAGCTATCAAATGATCCAAACCCAGGGTGGCCCTATGCTATGCTTTCCGGCACGGCCAGTTCTTGCTTGTTTTTCACACTCATCTTCCTCCTGAACTCTTAACTTGAATCCAGAGGAAATGTAAACAGACATTTTGGTTTGAGCTCAGAAGAAATCTATGCAGAATAGCTGCACTAATTAACCAAGCAAAACAATTACTGCTGTTGGCACAGAAGCTCGGGGGAGGTGTTTGTCCATGACAAGAGACTTACATGGGAGAGGTGTACATCTACAACCCTGGGAGAAGAGAAAAGGAAAGAAAGGATAAAAGCAGTCTGCAGGCTTTAAAGAAGTCTGATCACTGCTGTCAGACTTTACAGGTCCAGCTTTTCTTTTTTTATTATTATTTTTTAAATTCTGGAATATTTTTAATCTCAGCAATCTTACCTTCATTGCGAGAGCAAGAAGAGCTCCTTCCGTGGGCTGTCCTATCACACTGTTTTTCCTGATAATGGCATTATTGACCACGCAGCCAGCCTAGAAAAAGGGAAGTACTCACATGGCTCATTTCTTCTAGCACTAAATTAATAGCTTTTTCCATCTCTTTCAATGAAATAGAGAGAGATTGCAGAATGAAAGCAACCACATCCCCAAAAGATGTACTACTCCCTATAACTGCACCTCCTGAGATATGTTCTTGTGCTTTCTAAACCTGCTTAATCTGCAGAATGTACCTTATTTTTGGGTAAATTTTACATTTTGGACAAATTAACCTGAAGCAAAATGCTATATATATATTTATATATATCAAACTAACTTCAGAAGTCATGAAAACTCAGACCTTCCTACCATTGCTGCTAATGTGCAGTATGGGTACAGTAAAGCCTAACCTCCATTTGAGGCTCCAGCTCAGATCGTTTCACTGTTCAAACACTCCACCTCAGCCTACACTCAAATGCCCAAGATTATATTTAATGCCAACATGAAATCCAGAGACTGTGGCAGTGCATTTACATATTGATTGCACAGCTGGCTCAAGTCTAGAGTCTGTCTACATTAAAAACCTGAACATGGTAATATTAATTGCCCTGTCCTCTGCCAGAATCCTAGTTTGTTCCAAAACATCAGTGACACTCAGCTTGATGACTCTGGCCTTTCCCTACACATCTTGATTGCTGCCTTTCACCAATTAGCTTCATGTTTCACATCATGACTACTTGGAGAATTTCTCCCTGACTGCACTCACCAGGCAGCTTGCTTAAGTTACAAAAGAGATAGTTTCACACTCTTCACCCAAAACAATCTATGCTAATTAAAACTGAATGCAAATAGGACAAGCTGATTCATAACTTATACTCACCTCCACTAGTTTCCCAACCGAAACGTTGGAAAATTCTTTAAGTATTTCCTTTGATGGCAGAAGAAAAACATTTCCTTCTCCATTGTAGCCCACCCCACTGACCTGAGGAAAGGAGGGAGGGAGAACAACTTCCTCAGTGCCAGACAGCACTACACCACGTCTCCACACACTTCAGAAAATTTCTGATTTTGAAGGGATTTTTCTTTCTAGCTCAAGGCAACGCTGCTGGTAACGAATGCATATTAAGAAAACATAAGGACAAAAAGAATCAGCTCGTCTTCTGAGCTCAAGTTCTGTGGAAGTGCTGTGCAGCTCAATCAAGAGATCTTGTTCTTCGGTTGCAGTGGGTTCACTGGTACTGTTAAAGCCCTGATCATGCCTGCATTTATCAACTCTGCAAGCAGGTAAATGAGCCAAATATTAACGCACTCATAATAAATATTCCTATAACTGATAGATCCACAAGGCTCAACAGCAGATTTCAGTGTTTACAATTGCAGAGAACAGCAGATGAAGTCAATTTGTTTATGTTATCTGAGTGGCTTTTGTACAGGCAGAGCTGGGCCTCTCCAGCACTGCAGAAGTCCCTTCTCTTTGGACAAACCAGCAATGAAATGCTTTTTTGGGACTGACTCAACACTCCGTATTTGGGCTTCACAGAACTAAAAGCAAGTCAGCCCCGCTGAGCTTGAATAGGAAAGCTCATATCACATCACCACCTCCATACCTCTGCCTGGAAGCCATCTGAGGTCACAAGTCGAGTCACTGTCATCTCATTGGCAGTCAGAGTGCCCGTCTTGTCTGAGCAGATGACATTGCAGCAGCCTGATGCAAGGAAGTTTTTAAATCAGAACTCATTAAGTTATAAGGAAAGGATGACAGGAAAAGAATTTGATTATGCTTCATGGTATTGTGCAAGTAATTTGGTTGTGAGATGCAGTAGGAGACATCTGAAGATGTCTGCATTGTCCGAGCATCAGGTCACGAGCAGCCAAAGAAGACCATCATCTCCAGGAGGTGACCAGCATATCCAGGCACTGCATGCCAACAGAATGGCTATTATTACTATGTTCCAAGAAGAAGTATCAAATGCTCACTCCACCACATGCTTCCTCAAATGGGCCGTTTAATTAACCTTTGCTTCCCTATCTCCAAGTCAGGAACAGCACTTTCCCACCTTCCCAGAGGGTTGTGATGCTAGAAGTGTTGAAAACTGCTGCAAAAAGCACTTTCAAATCCAGCTACGAGTGGGAGCTGCCCCACTCATGCTTTGCTTTGTGACAATAAAGCATGTTTATGCCAGGGCCTATTTACAGCAGAATACAGCAAACAAGGGAATGAGAATAGTTAACACCATTCTATTTTCCATTCTCAGAAAGGGAAAAAAGATGACTTTAGCACAAAAGAGAATCAGACTTCAGCTCTGTTTGAAGTCTGAATATCTTCCCTGGCTCCAGAGGTGATTGTACAGTTTAGCAAAGACTCACCAACATGATGATTTGTAGGTAAGAGCCTGGAGAGAATAAAATAGATTGGGCTGTGAGTAAATTAACTGCAGTTTTGACTTGACTAGCTTTTCTGTGCTATCACCTCTAAACCAAGTAAAGCTGGAGGATCATGGCCTCAAGTTGCACTAGGGGAGATTCAGGTTGGACACTAGGAAAAATTTATTCTCTGAAAGAGTGGTCAGGCACTGGAATGGACTGCCCAGGGAGTGGTGGAATCACCACTGGAGGTGCTCAAGGAACATTCAGATGTCGTATTGAGGGACATGATCTAGTATGGAAATATTGGTGGTAGGTGGATGGTTGGACTGGATGATCTTGGAGGTCTTTTCCAACCTTGGTGATTCTATGATAATTTTTCTCCCTTTGAGAAGTTTACCAGACGCTGTACAATTTATGTATGGAGAGTACAGTTTTTTCCACTTCTAGGTCACCTGGCAGAGTACCTGACATCTTACAGTATGTCTATTTGGGAGCAACCCTTCCAGAACAAAATTCTTAATGAGATAAGGCAGTCTCAGATGTCTGGGTCAGGGCAGGTACAATAAAATCAGGGTGATAAGATTCCTTAACTGCAGAACAAACAAGGGCAGTTCAAACAATAGCAGCATTTCAAAGGCAGACAAATCTTAGCTGAAGATCCAGCTGCACAGCAGATATCTTGAACTACCTGGGCCAGCCTTGGCACTTGGTGCACATTTTATGAGTGGTCCTAAATGCACAACACGTTTGCCCCTTCATATGATTGCCATAGTGACCAAGGTCAGAATAGCAAAGCCTGGAATACAGTGACCTGGGGATGAGGGCCAGTTTGAAGATAAGGAATACTTTCAAAAGAGTTTATTCTGCCTCGTGCTGCGAGAGTGAGCTGGATGCCTTCTCAACATCCTCTCTTATCCCCATTTTCCACAGCTCTTTGAACACGAGGGAGATGGCTACACAGACTACAGGAAACCAGATAGTTTTGTCTATGCCATCAGGCTCAGCTTGAGGGGCTGCAAGGCTTTTTAGCCAGACAGCAGAGAAATGGATGGCAGGGACCTGCAGGATGGTCCCATGGAATGGGGGAAAAGGAGAAACCCAGCCTTTCAACTCAAACAGAACAGGCAAGGCTGCAGAGGAGTACTGCTCCCCATGGGCCACTGCTGTGGGATGGGTTGCAGCAGGAGGAAGATGTCACAATTGATTTCTCTCTGCATCACTCCTAAAAGATGACAGCACCTGAGCACATTACTGTCACTAAAGTAAGGGAAAAAGGTGAGGAACATGAAGTAGCATTTAAGTTTGAGGGGGTTGCTCAGGCCCAGTAAGCATATTCCAAGATAGAATACACATATTTTCATATTAAAATAATAAATAAGTAATAAAGCAATTAAATAAAGTAATAAAATGATAGAATAAAAATCAAACTGAGGCTCACTTGACCTCAGTTGAGTTTGTACGAATGACCAAAACCTCTCGCTCCTCTGCAAACTCACCTAAGGTTTCTACGATGGGCAGCTTCTTCACAATCACTCTTTTCTTGGCCATACGAAGAACACCCAGCACCAGTGTCACAGTGACCACGATGGGAAGGCCCTCTGGGATGGCAGCCACTGCCAGGCTGGGGGCAACAGAGAGAAAATGGTTTCAATGTATTGGTCAGACTGCAAGTGCTGGCCAACCATTGCAAAGGGACATCTCTGTGGGGTGAGTCTTCCTGCCCACATGGGCACATCTGAGTGGACGTGGGCACTGCTAACCACTGGGACTGCTGAGAAAAAAAATAAAAAGCAAGATACCTATCCAGCCCTTCAACATTTCCTGGGTAATTTTGACAAAGCGTTCACTTTTCTTTTTCACATGGTTGAAGAGCATTAACTTCTGGTTCAGCAGGGATTTAGAGGTTGGATTTCATTCACTTGGATGGAACGTAAACTCTCCCTGACATCACAACTCATCTGACAGCCACTGACTCCCATCCATACACAGCCCCACATCTCCTACATGTGGGTACAAACTACATCAGGAGAGCATGAGCTGCCCAGATATCTCTATGCTGTGCACACTGAAGGGGGCCAACATTAAAGCCCACAACAGCTGGCATGCTAGGAAAACTCAGACGCTGGCCATATCCCTCCTTCACTTATTTCCTTGGGTAATTGAGCACTTCCACATGTCTCCAAAGTGTAACCAAGGAGGACTTTCAGCCACGGGCTGCTCCCCTACATTCAGACTTAACTGCTTTTCTTTGCCACCACACCTCATTCCCTGTTGCTCTGTTGTCCCCCCATCTGTAGTATTGTTTATATTTATTTATTTCCATGGAAAGCTTTTCTAAAGGACTCATTTGAGAGTCATGACAACATCAAACAATAGATTTTATGGGCGCTACTAGAAACACATGGTTTATTATGTTTGATTAAGAGCTTGCACATGCATTTCAGGTCCATAAAATACACATTCCTGTCATTATGTGTAAATTTAGAAAGTACAGCAAAGGTTAATATTTGCTGTTACACTCCCACTGAATTCATAGTACAGACAGGAAAGGACACTCATGGCAAGATGAGCTGGGAAGTGCCAGTGAAGATTTTCAAAATACTTGGTTCAGAGAAAATAAGGAAGAATATATTTGAATGTAATTGATTTCCAAAGACATCCATGCTTCTTTTTCTGTTAAACTCAATTATAAAGCCAACATTAATCACACCAGGTGCAAGATCAGCATGTACTTCAGAAGGATCTTATGCAAGCTCTCTTCTGTGAAGTGCCCATTGTTTTGAACAGAAAACTCCCTGGAATGTATTTCAGTACAAATCAAAGAGAAAAGGAGCTTTCAAATCCTTACCTAACTCCAATGGTGAACATGCTGAGAAGATGCTTTCCTTGTAACCAGCCAATGAGCATTATTAAACCTGGCGGGGGAAAAACATCAAATTAAAAACACTGAGAAAAGTATACCTCTCCAATCTGCTTTAGCTGCTGTTGAAGAACGAATTATGCAGTGAAGCCCCCAAATCTCTGCTTCCACCTCCCAAAATCTCAGTAATTCCCACCAAGTACTTTTAAAAGCAGCAACCCTGGATCACAGAAGGCTCTCCCAGCTCCACACACAACTGTGAGCATTGTGTTCAACTCACCAATTATGCCAAAGGAGAAAAGGGTGAGTTGCTTCCCCAGTCTGTCCATGCTTTTTTGGAGAGGTGTTTTGGGAGTCTGGAAACATGAGAGAACAGCTGTTTTTCTTTGTGCATTATGAAAGATGAGAAGATGAAGGTAGGGGCAGAATGACAGCCCCACACAGACCTACTCATTATTACTGTAGTCCTTACAACTGCCCCATGTTGCCCAGTGCTTACCCACTCCAAACCTGAGATCAATAGTTGATTAGTTTCTAACACCTCATCTGTGTTTGGTTCAGAGATGCAGCCAGTGAAAGCATGGCATGTGCAGAACTAAAAATTGATATACTAGAGGAAGTGGAGGAAAAGAAAGAAAGAAAACCAACCAACCAAGAAGTCACGTGGTTCAGGCATCTCTCAGTCATGCAGGCATTCAACAGCAGAGACAGATCTAATGCATTAACCCCCAGCAGTGCTCCCCCTCATGATCCATTTCCAGAGTGACCCAGAGACTTTACCTCTTCAGCTTGCATCATTTTGAACACCTCTCCAAACTGTGAATTTTCACCTGTCCCGATAACTACACCCTGAAAAGAGGAAAAAAAAGAAAAAAGAAAAACAGATGAAAAATCTTTTAGATAAGATTCTGTGACCAACATCAAGGAAAAGACTGGGGGTGAGAGGACTCACTTTTCCCTTCCCATATCGCACCAGGGTCCCCATGAAAACAACATTGCTCAGAGTGGTTATGTCTCCAGCTTCTAGTAACACACCATCAGTCTTGTTGCAAGGCTCAGCTTCTCCTGTAAAACTGGATTCATCCACCAGCAGATCTGTAACCTAAATAAAAACATGCAATTTCTTGCACTGGTAACACACCCTTTTAAAGCTGGCCCTTCTCCACGGAGCTGCATTTACCTCTATTAGCCTGAGGTCTGCAGGTACCCTATCACCAACAGAAAGATATATGATATCTCCAGGCACAAGCTCTCTTGCTAGAAGATGCTGCAGTTTTCCTTCCCTCAGGCTAGATTAGACAAATGGAAAAAGAAGAGAAGAAACCAGGCTGTGAGCTCATTATTCTTTCTGCAGGCTCAGGAATGACAGGCAGGAAAGCAAGAGCTCTGCCCCAAGGATCTTGCAGTGTAAATAACAAAATCTGCACTAAACACAGAATCATAGAATGCTTTGTGTTGGAAGAGACCTTAGAAATTATCTTTTTCCAACCCCCCTGTATGGGCAAGGACACCTCCCATTAGACCGTGAGAAGAGAGAGTTCCTTCCCTCTTGCTCAGTTTAAATTAGTGAACAGAAGGGTGCATCACAGAACATTCACATGTCACCAATAAATGACATGAGGTCCCAATTAGTTACGCTGCAGTGTTGTCTCCCCAGAGCTTTCTCTTCTCCAGGCTGAACAACCCCAGCACTCTCAGCCCATCTTCATCTTCCAGACACTGCTTTCTCATTACACCAGCAACGACCTGCAATCATACTCCTTGCCAGCCAGTCCTGCCCCATAACCCATAGGACTCACACCCTACCAGCCAGCTGCGCCTCACCAGTTGCACTCAGGAGGAACCAACTTGTTCAGCTCTTCCAGAGACTTTTCAGAACGATACTCCTTTTAAATCAGAAAGGAAAAGAAACCAAGTTAGGTGAGCAGCCTGCTGGGGGCAGTGGGGCTGAGCCCTGCTTCACGTACCTGGATGAAGGCCACAGTGACCACGATGAGCACAGCCTGAGGACAGAGAGGTGTTACAGGCACTTTGGCTTTGGGAAGCAAAGGGCTGGGGAACAGGAGATGTGCACCTACCATGGTGATGCTCGCAGCATCCTCGTACTCCTTAGTGATGACGCTTACCAAAGCGGAAGCCAGCAACAAGAGAATGAGGGGATTTTTAAACTGGAAAAGGAAACAAAACGAATCAGAACATAAACACGGTCTGAGTTGGTCTCAGAGCTGTTCAGAAAGGGCTGGAGATGCTGTCTGGCTGCAAGAACCTTCCTGTATGGAGTGGGTGCAGTGTTTGTAGTCAGATTGGGGTCCGCAAGGACAGCACTGAGGCTCACACCATCACACACCGATGTCCCCACTTTCCCCCACCCTACACAGGCAAGGTTTGCCTTTTCAGACACCTAGGGCAGGGCTAGCACTGAAATCTCCTTAGAGGCATGACAGGCACGGACAAAGCCTTTTATTGTCTTTTAGAATTTGATACTAGAACTCCTATCTTTTTTCCCCCCACCCTCCCCTTTTCTCCTCATTAATCTGCCAAGCTCTGCCCTGGTCACAGGAGCCAGCACTGTCAGGTGTTGCAACCCTCACCCCCCCAAAATGGGAAACATCACCAAAATCAGCAGCAGAATGGGGAAGCCACGCATGATGGGAGAGTACTGTCACTTTCTCCTTCACTTGTGGCAAGGATTTTAAGGGCCCTGCTCCCACATGCAAAAATCACCACTCCATTTAGCTAGCATAGGAACTGGTAGAACTAAATGGCACTGAATAATTTGTTTCATCTCCTCACAGGAGAAATAATTTGTTAAGGCAGCCAAGGAAGAGTCAAAAAACAAAACAAAACAAAAGCCAACCAAACAATCAAACCAAACAACCCAGCATCTCATTTTTTTATTGAAAATAAAAGAATCCTTGAAGAGATTGAGTGATGCTTACATCAAAGCAGTAAAAGTGCATTGATCACACAGGAAAAAAAGGATAATCCTTGAAATAAAAAGCAAGCCTTCCAAAACAAAGAGAATCTTCATTACCCAGCTAAGACAACACCAAAAGGAGCAAAGTAACAATAATAAAAATTAAAAAATAGCCAAACAGTCAAATTGCTAGCTGAAAACAAACAGGTAAATAAAACCACTCTTCCTATTTGGTTAAAAACCTCAAAGAATCACAGAATCACCAAGGTTGAAAAAGGTCTCCAAGATCATCCAGCCCGACATCCATCTACACTGCCCCACTACACCACGTCCCTTAGTACCACTCCTAAACCTTTCTTGACCACCTCCAGGGATGGCGACTCCACCACTCCCTGGGCAGAGGAAGTGATCTTTCAGAGAACAAAAATTAACAAAAATTCACAAAAATTCCTTGGAGAGGTGAAAGATGCTTTCAATGTATATGAGAGTATTTAAGAAAATTCAAGATAAGCTGGCTGGGGAAAACAAAGACAGCAAATCCACCTTCTGCCTGATTCCTTGGGTACAGCTGGCTTTTCCAAACCTTCCCAGATTTTATCACTTACCTTAAAGAGAACAGATGAGCTCAGAAACCAGTTCACTGAGCTATAACTTTTGATTTGTGGGCTGCATGGAGATTAAAAGGTTTATTTTTATTTTAAGATGTTATCTCCAGGTTAAATGAAGCCGCATCTGCACCTCACAATGGCTTTACTGTGGGAACAGTTTCTGGATCTGGGGCACATCCTGTCCCAGGGCTGAATTCATGGAATGTTTCAATATAGAGTTATTGAAGTTAGGGGGCTGTCACCAGGAACCAGGAATCCATGCCAAAAATACTTACCTGGTCCAGGTATTTCTTCCATATAGGCTCTGTGGCATCTACTGAAAATTCATTCCAGCCATGTTTTAACCTTCGCTGCAGCACAGAAAACTCAGAGAGCCCAGTCTGTAGATCAACCTAGCAGGACATCAAAGTAAAACAACATTACGTGGTGTAGGATCCTCACCCTCACAGAAAACTACAAAAGCAAGTCTAAACATCAGACTCTCACTTCACCCAGGAGCAAAGCAAGAGAGACTGAGAACCTCCCTCTTGTGCCTCAGTATCTCTCCATCCATCTCACTGGCCATAAGCAGCAGTCACAATGCCAGGCATTGCACCCAGCCCTGCCAGGGTCAACATCTCTGCTGGGGACCAGCAACCCCATTCAGCAGCAGCAATGCTGTGAGCAGGGGATGGGGCAGAGCTGGAGCACGAGGCCAGGCTGTGAAGACAGCTGAGGGTGATAAAACCAGGAATTTTGTCTCTGAAATTAAACTTGCTCTAAAAAGCAAGTTTGAAATATTTTGTGTGCACTCGCATGATGATTTTTAAGGAGCTGCTGGTGATTTGGGTCAATAGCTGCACAGCTACTGTTATGTTTCTGAATGTAGCTACAATCCCTTACGTTTAAGGCTTTAGCCAAGTCTTCTTTATGGCATTTACAAGCATCTTTTGGTAGCAGAACTGTCACTTCCTTCTCCTGTTCAATGACTTTCAGCTCACACTCCTGGCTCTGCAGAAAGGAGATAAAGCACTTGTTAGATGAGGGCCCCATCAGCAGAAACCATTTAGCATTTCTCTACTCCTTCCTCAACTCCATTCTCTTATCCTGTCAGCCCTGTGGTCCTACAGGTAACAAAACCACATCCCCACTGCAGCACTTTATAACACTCCCTAACTAATCCTCAGCCCCAAAGTCAGGTGCACCCCATTGCTCTACCGCCCCAGTGTTCACCCCAAGGTTGCTAGGAATGCTGGTTCTGTCCCTGCAGGCAGGAGATCCTTCCTGTGGGGGTGGGAGAGCAGGACATTTGCTGTGCTGTCAGAATGACCAACATTATCACACTCAATTCTGTTTGGTTATTAGGCTAAATTTGCTCACCCCTGCGTACATCCAATGGTCAGCTCATCATTGCAATCCCCTCCAGCTGCTTGGCAGAGAGGGGCAGGCAGGGACTGGGACCAGCTGAGTGGTTTTCCATCAAACTCTCACAATGACTGAGGTGCTGCCTGGGTTGAAAGGCTGTCTGAACCTTCTTTAGGGTTGTTATCGGCTGGCAGAAAGCAACACGATTAGGAGCTGAATTGCTAAAAGACAAATGTGGCAGTGCTGTGGGTAGGAAAGCATGAGGGGCCCTGTTGTTTGCAGGGATCCCGCCCAAGATAAGCATTTTGACATGCCAGAGTTACCAGTGTTTCCCTCTGTGTTCTGTGCTCAGAGAAAGGAAAGCCTGGTTCTCCTTATTAAAAACAAAACCAACCTGTCAGAGGGAAAAAAGAATGGTAATGGTGAGCTAGGACGATCTCTGCCCCAACAGGAGGAAGCAGACCCTGCCTCCATCGCCTCCAAGTGGGAGAAATCAGCCTCATCTTACGGATCTTATGGACTGATGAGAGGTGATGGAGGATGGGAAGCGGCACAGGCACGAGGCAATGTGCCTACAGTTTTACACTGCTGGTGGAGCAGCCAGGTCTGCCAGCTCTATCACTGGTATTTACCTTCAGGAAGGTGTGGAGAAGAGGAATGACGGAAGCACATGCATGATGTCTGAGCACCATGGCTGCTGTGAATGAGTGCTTTTACTGCTGTGAGCTAATCCATACTGATCAGCCTGTGCCTGGCCATGACTGCCTATCAGCATGGTGTGGCTTTTACTTCCAGGACAGCTCCAGTGATGTACAAGTTGGGAGTATGTTTGGCATCGTTTTCTATCTATGTTTTAAACCAGATGTGGGCTATCAATATTAACAATTCACATTTTCAGCCCTTTATCCCTTATACGTAACTGAAGCACAACAGAGTGACATCATACAGCTGGGCAACAAGACACAACAAAACCAAAATCAGAATTTACCCGTTATTTTGCAAGCTCAGGGGATGCTGGGGGACAGGAGAACTCTGTGGCAGAGCTGTGCAGCTGCCTGCCCTGTCACCTCCATCCCTGACCCCAAAACAAGCCATCAATTGTTATGCAGCAAGGGGAAAAGCATGGGGCTCCTGGACCAGTCTGTATGTTGTAATCTGGTCATAAGTGGGCTAAGTTGTTTAGTCTAACAAGAGGTCCTTTAAAGCCTTAAGCAGAAGCCTTCTTGTGTATTCTTCATGCTTATGGAATGAAATAAGCCCACCTCAACCTTGAATGGAGGACAGGGCTGAGTAGTGTCTGTGCTCAAGGCTTTGGCTCCTGAGACTCGGCTGGATTCAGTGCCACAAGGGAAAGGACAGAAAGGGTTCTGCAGATGCAATGTGCATGGGGTGTCAGGGAAATGTGAGTCATTTACCAGGCTAAATCACAGCCTGGGAATATGCTCCTGATACACCAAGTTGTTCAAGCCATGGCGGTTACTGGGATGCTTACAAAATACAAAGAATTGTTGGGTGAACTTAAATAGAACAGCTTGGAAATTTTCTTTTTGAGGGTGTAATAACTGTGCTATTCATTACTCCACCCCACAGACCAGCAGTGACCCCACAGACCTTGAAGCGGTTTCTATTTGTGACAGCATTATTAGAAGCTTTCCTGGTGTGCCCCTAAATAACATCTATGAAGGCTCTGGAATGAGATCCCTCCTGACATCCTCCAGCCCCTGCACAGCTGTGCTGCAGCAGCTGCCTTGTGTTCACCACCAAGGACCTGCCTGAAGCCACTGGGCTTTCACATCTCTGCCTACTTGCCATGCCCACAGCAGAAACTGGTCATCCTACCATGCTATGAGCGTGCCACACTCTGCAGGACCAGAGCTATAATTCAAGCAGGGCGTACATCTCACAGTAAATATCTATCACTGTTTATTTTGGCACAGCAGCAGAACAAGCCAGCCCAATTGCTGGAGGCACTGTGACTGCACAGTGTTAGAAACCTCAGCCTCCCATCGAAACAAGACTGCAGACACTCGCAGCCTCAGCCGCATCGCCCTCTCCTTGGGGTCTGGGGCTGTGCTTGAGGAGCACAGAGCAGCACCACACACCGTGCTGCTATGAGGAAGAGCTCAATGCCTTGCTTTCTTCTCTCTGTCACGCTGATCAGCCCCTCTGCTGGAAAGACAAGGCTCTGAAAGGCTCAGAGGATTAGCAGAAGTGATATCTGAGAACAGGCCTCAGTCAGATGATTGCAGGAAAGAACCTGAGGATCTGGAAACGTATGGACGGTTTTGTTGAGAATGGACTAAGGGCGAACCCTGCATGCTGAGGATCGGGTTCATGTGGGAGAGCACCGCATCGCTCTGATGTGTGGGAGAAAAGTGTGTCTTGAGCAATGGAAATCCCTGTGCTGAGCAAGTGTGGCAACAAAAGAATCCCAGCCTGCAACTTTTAGTGGAGAAAAACCAACAGTAGCAACAAATGTGATATCTGAACCACTGTGCTTTGACCCATAGGCAGTAGTGATAAGAGGCAGTAAAAACCAGCATTCGTACATCAGCATCTTTCAGGAAAAGCGAGCATTGTGAAGCAGGCTCCTCAAGCTGAGCCCTGCAGCCCAGCTCAGTGCAGCAATGCCCAGGAGCAGCACAGGGTCACACGGTGTGTGCACTGCCCAGCAACCCGCAGACCCTGAGCGGTGTGCACTGCATGCAGCCCACAGAAACAAGCCCCCTCCTCACCCTGCTGCCTGGCAGACATCATTACCCCCATCCTAGCTCACAGCCACAGCCACATCACACACTCCCACGGCACAGAGCAGATCTGCAGGCAGAGGCGACAGACTGAACCCCAAGCACAAAAAGTATTTCGGCAGGTCCCAGCAAGGGCTTTGGGAAATCCTCACCTCCTCTTCTGGCTCGGTGCTCCCAAGGGGCTGATATTTCTGCACGAAGCGAGCAGATGGCCGTTTGGGGAAGAGTTTGGCGAGCACTCCTTCCACCATCTTTGCCGGGGCGGTGGGAGCACCCAGTGCCACGGGCACTGCTTGGATTGTCCTGCAAGCACAGGGCTGTGGTTACAGGCAGGGAGAGGCAGTGTCACCTGCTGCCAAGTCACGCCTTCGGCTGCAGGTGCCGGAGGGAGGCTGCACACCCTTCGCCCACAAAGCCAGAGGAAGCCTGTCTATGTTTAAGAGAGGTTGTGGCGATACGAGAGCGTGGTGTGTGTGTGCACAGCACCTGGAGATCATACTGAGAGCTTAGCAGCTTGGATTTTCTTCTGCTTGGGCACCGATGCATGGCGTGTGTGTAAGGTGAGCCCCCACCCTGCTCAGGTGAACCCACTGTGAGTTTGCGATGCTGATTTATTAAATAGCGCGGTCGTTCATCTGCCAGAGGGGAGTGTTTTCTTGGTGGATCTCAACATATGGATGAGGTTAACCAGCTGCGTACTTTGGGAGATTTACAGCTGCCTGTCAGGGAGCATCATGCTTGGGTCTGCACCAGGAAACCTACACACTCCCCCAGGCAGTGTGACTGCAGGGCTCATGAGGCTTAAACTGTCCCTCTGGGGTAGGCAAACTGTGGGATTAAATCCTACCTCTCCAGGGAAAGCTGTGGTTAGGGAACAAATGTCATTCCCAATTAAAGGAAAAGAAATGGTGCCATTATCTGCAGAAGAACTGTTTTCTGCCAGCACCCCAATCCGCCTGTGGTGCCCAAAGCCTGGCCAACTTCCAACCACTGAGCCTTTCAGTGCAGCCTTACTTGTATCTTCCAGATCCCAGCTCCAGCAAAAATGGAGGAGCCCTAGGGACACCCCACACGATGCTGTAAGATGCAGGGAACACTTGTTTCCAACACGCCATGCTCCACTGCAGCAGCCTGGATTGAGGATTCCTTTCCAAAGGCTGAGGGAAGAGCAAAATGATTGGGAAACACTGCAAACAGCCAGTCTCTTGTAAAACAAGGCTGGGACTTCCTACTTCTCTCATCTCCCGATTGAGAAATGCTTTCTTAATGACCCGAAGCGGATGCGTCAGGCAGATGAAGGAAGTTCCTGCATCACTGCAACAATGTTCCTTCCCACGGGAAAACAGCCAGGATCATGCTGGGCACTGGTTTTCAGGCAGTTCACATCCAGGTCTTCAGGGTCTTAGTCAGGGCTTGAAGGCAGCCAGGGCTCTCAGAGGCACTGGGAAGGTTCAAAACTTAGCACAATCTATAGGAATGAGGTGGCAAATTATCCCAGCATTCCACATGCATTTGACTATTTTCTATCCTTCTGTAGCTTTTGCAAAGAGCAGAAGTGCATCCAGCTCTACCATGGTCCTGATAAAAAGAGAAGGCACTACTTCACAAGAAAATGCATCCCTCTGCTCATCTGAGCACGTCTGTCACGGGCACAGCTTTGGGGTCCTGTTGAATCATCCCTCATGTCCTGATAGAAAAAACGTGAAAAACATTTCCTCCCTGTCTGTGCTTGGAGGAAAGATTTGCCTGAGCTTGTCCTTGCTTTTCTGACCCCCAGACCTCTCCCACCACCTATACAGCCAGCACATGGCAGAGGAGCAACCAATAGGCAAAACCTCAGCTCGTCCTGAGGCCAGCTTTGTGCAATGTGTGTGGGTTGTACAATCCCAAGTGCGGCTTTTGTAAGCCAAGCGCTGCTGACAACGCAGCTAATTGAGCAACAGGCTCTTGTTGCTGGTTTCCTCCTATAACTTCCTCCTCTTGGCACAGAGCTGCTGCTTGTGGAGACACACGTAGCTCCGTACTGAATAAACAACCCAGAGAAGAACAAAATCCTGAGTGTATGTAGGTTACAGAGGCCAACATGCCTCAGCCCAGTGAACACTAGGGCACCCACTGGGTGCTAAGCACCGAAGTCAGGCAGACAGGTGACACAGGATTGTAGAATATCCCATGCTGGAGGGGACCCCAAGGATCATGGAGTCCAACTGCTGGCCAGGACTAAACTGAATCAAGGCTATAATGTAAAGAAAGCAACACTGATATAAGCTGTTTTTCTTCATTCTGGACTAACACATTTTTCACACTACAGAAAAAAAAAAACACCATAGCAATTACAGTTTTTTTCTATTATTTCCTATTTTCCTATTATTTCTTATTACTGTGAGGAGGAAATGTTTCGCTCAGAGGGTGGGGAGGCACAGGCACAGGTTACTAGAGAAGCTGTGGATGCCCCATCCCTGGAGGTGGGGCCCTGGACAACCTGATGGCAACCTTTGCCCATGGAAACTGGATGATCCCTTCCAACCCAAGCCATTCTATGATTCTATGATTCTATGTGCGAGCTTGAAAAGTTACCTCTGGGTGCTGCTTTCTGTCCAAAACGGAGCATTTTGGGCTCTGGCTTGTGTGAGACAAGCACAGTCCCCTTGTGAGCCCCTCTGTGGGGAACAAATCAATATCCCACCCCAGCCTGGCAGCATGGAGGCTTGATCCAGAGGAAGATTTGTCAGCAAAGCAGCATAGGCAGAAAGCTGGCTAAGTACCACAGAGGGCTGCTTCCTTCACAGAGGCCCTACGGATGGGTGCAGGATCTCTGCAGCATGCGGGTGGCTCAGTCTCCTTCACCTGCTTCCCTCTCCATATTCTGGGCTGGTCACACTTTTGCTCCTCTTCTGCCACCTTGAGGGAAAGAAACTCTGCTGCATGGGATGATGGAGTTTGCTGCTGCTCAGGTGTCCAAATATTCTGCTTTCAGGTCGAGTTTTTCCCATGCCCCTGTGCAGAATAACCACTGCTGCCTGTGGGAACAACGACCTGCCCACATGGGTCCTTCTTGGCACATCCTTCAAATGAAAAATCTCTTTTGATGAGAAAAAGAGAGCAGTGTGTTGTGCAGCCTATTGTGCACAGCGAGGGGTGGCAGAGAAGAGGGGTTTTTGACTTGAAAGCTCGCAACCTGTTATAACAGCAAGAAATTAAGATATAGGCAATGGTTCCTTTCCATGTTTTCCAATGCTGTTGACACAGGGCAGATAATAACCTGGCTTCATTAATACTCAAGATCTGCCCCTCGTTTTGTCACTGGAAAGGGGAATTTTTCTAAAATCTCTTGGTTTCTGCTCGCACAGCCTCTGCTGCTTAAGCTGGGAGACCTGTCTGGTGGGGTGGCCCTGGCCAGGTGCAATGAGCCCCATCATTCCTGCCTCCAGCACGGAAAATGCCAAAAGGCCTTGTTCCTTCTGCACAGCTTTTCCCATAAGGTTCTTGATACTCTGTCTGCACAAGCTAACGACAAGGAGAAAATGATGGGAAGAAATAGGGCTAACCTCTGTAGACTCATCAAGAGAAGGTGTCTTTAAACGGGCTTTAAACAATGCTGAAGTCCTTTTAGGTTTTCCCTGCTGTACCCTGTGAGTCCAGCAAAGAGCTCTCCTCTGTGATCAGAAAAAAAAGGAGTAACTTTTAAAACACAAAGTGCTTCACAACCATATTGTCAGGATTCTCTGCCATTAGGGAAATGAAAGGCAGGGGTATGCGACCTCTTTTGTTCTTGCACAGTTTGCCAGAGGCAATCGATGCTCACCTGACACCACCTCCAGAGAAAAGTCCAGCTTGAGTACACAGTGTGTGATGGTAGAGCAAACAACCCCCATGAGCAAGTCCTGCTATGTGTGCCAAGGCTCCAAAGACTCTTGCGTATGTTGTCTCAACCTTGTAGACTTCTTCACATCAGCCCTGCTCTCCTCATAGCACTTTCCACCAGCCTGAGCAGAAGAAGTTTCTAGGAACTTCTGCCCCACAGAGGTGGTCCCTCCAGAAGAGGACACTGGTGGTGGTGGATGTATTTTTGGATCTGACACATCCCTTCCCTTGGAGAAAACTGTCTTCCTGTGTTTCCTCAGCTTCCTTAAACTTTGTTCTTTCTTTTCAGAATTTAAAGCAAAGCACCTGTCAAGAACACACAACCAAAACTAGGCAGAGCTGGAAAATATCCTGGTCACGTTTTTATTGAGCACCAAAGTGGCAGAACCTGCACCCATCAAGCATAGGACGCATGTATGGGGAAGGGCCCACCCGGCTCTGCTGCTGGTCCTCAGCTCCCACGGGGCAGAGCAGCTCCAGCAATGGCAGCAGTGATGCGTGAGGATCCAACGGACTGCAGGCATTGCCTGCAGTGATACTTGTGAAGTTGATGATAGCACCAAACAAGCTTCAAGGTGTACATGGGGACAGGAAAACAACCTACATTCGCTATTTCCTACTGAGCTTCGTGAAACTGCTGCTAAGCCATTTGTCTTTGGAGAGAAGAGTAGATGAAGACAATCATTTGGTGTGTGCTTCCCTTCCAACTCGATGGACAGCGCTGTCGAAAACACAGCACTTATACAAGCTGCTTCTGGAGCTTCTGTTGCCAGGTCTGACAGCTGATAACTTAAAAAGAATTAACTTGGAGAAGCAAACACAATAGCACCACGAGGAAGGGAGACGTCTTTGATAACATCCAGTAAACAGAAATTCATCAGGAACACTTTGCAATTGGAAAAATATCTTTACCAGCTCATCCAGCAAAGTTGTCAGGTATCCGCTTTCTCCTGCTACAAAATAGCAGCCATTGCACTGAATGCATCCACTAAAATCAAGTGTATTTTTGGATAAAATTATAGAAGTAGTTCTGTCTCAATGTGGTGTTGCATTTAATAGCTAGAGCTTGGAGCAAAGGAATGGAGAGTGGAAAGCAATTCAACAAATGAAAAGATTTAGGAAAGTGTGGAGCCTTTCATCTGTTCTTTTGCTCCATAAAGCACTGAGGAACACGTCTGTTTACAAAAGGAAACGGAGAGCAGTTTGGAAACTTTCATCTCTCCAGCTGCAAATGTTATATGCAGAGTACCAAGTGTTTTATGAGCATCTGAGCTTTAGCTTAAGCCATTCTGTGAATGGAAAAAATCTCACAGTTTGTGGGAGGAAGCAAGCACTTTGTATTTGTGAATTGGGTATTTATAAACACTGCTACTATTCTGCATACCCAAATGCTAATTTTATGCATGCAGATGGGGACGTGTACTAAGCAAGGGAGCCAAAATACCTTCCTTTGCCTAGCAATTTTGACTGATTTGTCAGAATTAAATGCTATGATCCCTTTAGGAGCATCCGTGGAAATGGAAAACATTCACAGAAAATGTGTTTTCCATTTCACAGTGCTAAACAGCTATAAAAAGCTGTAAGGCCAAAACACAAATAACATGACCCTAAGGACTCATGGATTTGACATAAAGGTACAGGACATCCAGAGAGCAGCAGCCCATCTGCCAGACAATCCTTCTGAATGCATGTATTTATCCTGATTTTGCTTTTCTAAGATGTGCACAAATAATCCAGGCTTCAGCCCCACTGCTGAGGTTTTGCAGGTACAAAAGGACAGACACATTATTTGGGAGTATTAACTCAGGTGGCTAAAACAACTTTAAAAGGTTGGCACGTGTCTCTAACAGCTTAGATATTGCAGAAAGAAGTCTATTCATTAGCTCACAGCCTACAGTTCACCAGACTGAGAAGCTTAAGGAAAGTCAGTTAAAAAAATATTTTAAAAACCTGTTTTTCTCCTGCCTCCCCACATCCTTAAGATTTAAGAGGAAATCTGGTTTCCTGATGCTTGTGAGAAGACTCACGTAAAGTAGTTAGTTGTCTGAGATAGGCAGGGATTGGACCTGATGTAGAGAGCTCCTTTAGTCTTCATCTTGACTTTGTCATGTTACTTAATATTTTTATACTATTCAGTTGTGTTGACAGTGAAATCCGAATTGGTCACCTAAGACACACATAGAGAGCAGGCTGTGTGCCAGCAGCCTGACAAGGGCACTGTGGTTTGCAGGTGTTCCCTCTGTGGTATTTACATTTCTTCAGTGGAAAGGCAGCTCATAAACGGTGTGGTTTCTTTCAGGGATCACATTCCTCCCCATGCTGACAGGCTTAAAATCTGGACTCATCCTGTTTCTTGAAAATTCAAAGTCTTTATCGTTGATGGGTGGGGATCAGGGTAATGCTGGAGATGGCCTCATGGAGATTTGGGACTAGAATTCTTCCAAAACGTAACTGTTGAGTAAATCATTCCTTGAAAGCTGCTTAATAGAGTGGTCCAGCTGGGTGAAAATTCAAACAACAATAAAGGAATTAAAATATTTATCCTTATGAGGGTGTTTGTATAGAACTTGTCCTTACGTAGCCAAGGAATCTTAATAGTCATCCTGACGTAGGTACAAGAAAGACACAATTAGCTGCTTTGTTTTCATAACTGCCATTAAACTTAACTTAGTTTTAAAGTGAAGCTAACAGTGTTAAGAATACCAACCTGGAACAGAATCTTTGCTATAATAAATATTTTCAGTCTTGCCCAATTCAAAGGCTGATAAAACACAATGGAGCACTTTCAGCCGGCTTTGGTCTGTTCAGACACGAGTTCATTTGCCTGAACTGGTCACACTGTTGAGGACAACTGTTCATGCACATAAAGTTACTCCTTTAAGTCATCCACCTGCATAAGCAAGACTTACTCTTACTTACAATCCACCTGGAATAAAGCTTTTACTTGCAGTATCACTCATACCTATGTTAAAAGAAGCCTCTAAATAAAAAGTTTGAAGTCTTAAACCTCACAAATTTTTGCAGCACTTTTCACCCTGAAGATCAGCCCATCCTCTAAATGCCTTGAAAGCAAGGGGTTCTCAAGAAAATCAGGTTCACCTTGTGAAATTAGAAGAAAAAGTGAGAGGAGAGTAGAAGTTGGGAAAGACATCAACTTCTCCACGAACATTTTGCAGAGCTCTCCCCACAATGCCTCAGGTTCTCGGGATAATTCTACAGCACCATCTGTTTGTCTGCAGAAGTGTTTGAGCTCTGTTCTTAGAGCCTGAGGTATGCATCTGTGCAAAGGATGAAGGTGTTGTCCTTACAGTGTTGTTTTGATGAAAGGTAATTTCAGCCTCAGGCAACTTTTTCTTTAAATAAGTGCTTACTAAGCACCAACGATTTCCACCCAGCTCTCCCTTTTCTCACACACACTTACCCAGGCATACTTTTGATTAACCCAAATGCTTCTGCTGGTTTTTCACATAGCCGACCACATTGTTGGAATTGCTGCCTGTAAAACAAAACTCTGTAAGGTCAGATTGCAGATTAGTCTGCAGCAAAAAAATAAAGATTAAAAATAAAAAGCTAACTTGCTTGGGAAAAAAGACTGTTTTTGACTGAGTTCTGTATCTATCTGCAATGAATCCAGAGCCATGACCAAAGCTCCAAAAATATACTTTCAGATAACAAAAGGTTGTAGGGTTGGGTGTTTCTCAGCCCTTAGGTGGGAACCCCTAGCAGAAGGCTGTATTATTCAACAGCGTGTCACAGCTGGCAATACTGGTTCCCAAGAGTCCCACAGTCAAGGCAATGCAGATCTGAAAACAAAACCTTCTTGACCAAGGTACGGAGCCTTGAGATTAAAGAATATCTTTTTGCTATTTGCAGTCCTTCATTTCATAAGCAGCAAATTCACCATAAACAATGCAATAACTATGAGGCTTTCATGCCAATTGCTTACCAAAATACTCCTTGTAATACTTATGCCTCAGGTTGCGTCCATCTGAAAAAGAAAGTACATAATGACAACACACCAGCCAGCCTTCATCCTCTGAGTGGGCTACTGTGACATTCTGTCCTTTTCAGCAGCTATGAGTCAAGGAATCACAGCTTTCCACAAATAAAAGAAAATCTGCTTAAATTTCAAACTGGCTATTAGTGATCTACAAAGTTCAAGTTCCAGATGACTTTTTTGGTTTACCATTTATATTGTTATTTAATCTCCTAGAAGTAGCCAATGTTTAAGAACCGCACAGCTATATATTATATTAGGGAGGTTAATAAAGGAAAAGATATGAAATAATAAAACCAAAGCCCAAACCCCACATCTTACTGGTGTCTGCTTGACAGAAGAAGAAAGGAAGGAAGGTTTCCAGTCAACTGACCTGGATTTCCACGGAGCTTGATGCATTGGCCCCTGTTAGGGATTCCTTCAGCTGTGTTGCCAGGGTTGATGATATGGCACTCATACCCCGTGGGGCAATGCAGAGGCTCATCGCCATCCTCAGTGGTGCTGCAGGCCTCAGCTGCAAAAGAAGCCTGAAGGTCATAAACTGTGGCTTTATCACCCACAGGTAAACAAAACAGGACAGCACAGCCACTTTCTTCTGTGCCTCCTCCCAGACAGGATGCTTCTCCAGACTGCTTCAGACCACTTCCCAAGCAAGGCTACCACAGAGCTAACACCTCCAAAGACATCTGGCACAGTGGAAGATCAAGTTCACACCTTACACAAAACTTGATGTGTCCAACTCAACATGGGGAGTGCAGACCAGCCCAACTGTTGGTAACACCACCCTACGCACAGCCTGTTGTGTGGGCCCTGTGCTGGACAGCAGTGGAAATAAACCACTATTGGTGGTCTCTCGTGGGTGATCTCACCATGCTGCTCTTGCCTCCAAGCAGCCATACCTCTGTTCCAGTGTTTTGGTCTGGGTGAGGAATTTGGGGAAATACGAGCAGGAAGCTGGCAGTTTGCTGCTTTGTTCTTTGCTCCACACCCAGTACGGTACTGAAGAATCTGAACCTCAGATGTGACTCATTGTAGAGCACAGCAGCACCACCCCTTGTTGCCTACAGAGGCCTCCAGCACCTTGACTCTGGATATCCAGCAAGTGTGGAGCAGAACAAGAAAGTAAAGCAGGTCTCACAGGCTGTATCTGCATACATGAAGTGTACAGGCTATGCCAGGACACTCCACCCTTTCATTTGACGAGAGTTTTAATTTTAAGAACCTCTGCTGTAATTCCCATGCCATGACTGATGGGT